AGCCCCTGAGTATTTGGATGTGCAGGTGGCCCCGTCACGGCCCACTCCTGCCTTTCCCTCCTCCATCCCAAATGCAGTGCTGCAATTGCTGGCATAATACTGCAGCATCCTCCATGTTCGACCAAAGTCCTGTGAGCGCTCCAGGGTCATGGCAGCAGGCCTCGGTGAGCGAAACACAATGATGAGATGTGTGAAGAAGAACTCAGTCTCCAGGTCCAGCTGCACTGTCTCAGAGTCCACCCCCTCAGCTGACTGCCACCAGGTGTTGGGGTGACGGAAGGAGGAGTCAGACATGGCCCCGGCCAGGTGGGACAGGAGAGGAAGGCCGGCGTTGCATTTGGCACATTTGGCAGCACTGCAGGCTGAGTTGGCGTTAGGATCAGAGTAGGAGCAGTAGAGCTCAGTGCCATTGTTACCACAAACGGTCTGCGTCAGGACCCAGCGCCCCAGGGCCAAGTTACCCATGCGGGGGTTGCAGGCCCGGCTCTCACAGCGAGGGGCCACACCTGCACGAGACACGTCCACAGGCAGACCTGGAGGGATGGAGGGAAAAAAGAGAAGTACACATACAATATGTACTTAGCAAATATGGCCTGAGGCGACAAACAAGCAAAAAAAATGTGAAATGACAAGGTGCAGCACTCATTAAACCTCATCTTAAAGGCCAGACACCCAAACAACTAGTGTTATTCAACCACACTACCAGTGTTCTCTTTTGTTCATTCTGTTTTTGAAACATTTGAAATTTCTGCCTCCAAATACAAGGGAGATGAGCTTTCCACAAACGGTTAAAACAACACATTTCACTGTCAGCTGTTTCAGTGCTACTACTAACCTGGCACAAATTTTTAAAAAAGGAATCTGCATCACTAAATACCACTAGAGGTAACTGAAAAAGTCGTTTTTCTCTACTTTGTGTGAACTGGCCCTTTAAGTCCACATTTTAAGAGGAAGTTCAATTCAAATTGCCATAACCCCCCCCCCCTCTTCTTTTTGTTGTTTGTTATAAGCAAACTCCAAAACTGAAATATGGCAGAGGAATATTTAGGACAAAAATTCCCCACTGATCTGATAATCTGTGACCTATATCTAACAATGAACCCGATTAACCAGTAAAACTAGTTGTTAGCCGTTTCATGCCCCACTTTACCCCCAGAAATGTCATCTTCCATAAGCAGGTTTGTAGATGTTGTGCTCATTCTGCAGCGAACAGACACAGCTAAATCTAGGTTGTAGTAACAGAGTATGTGTGAGTGACTCGGTGCGTGTGCACGTGTGTACACAAGTCAAGTGATTTACCTCAATCGGAAATGTAATGCAGCAGGGATAATAGAGGCATTGTGCGCCTGTCGGCCAGAGACTGCGGCCAGCATGGACTCTGACACAGATCAGGTTTGGCAGCTTAGAGCCGCATTCGGACGCCTTCCAGACGCTTTGCAACCCCCAGAGAGGTGTTATCTTCCAAAGTGGATTCATTATTTTAATCTTGGAGCGCTCTTTGTTTTTAAAGGCCCCACAGACAGGCTCATATTAAACCTCAGAGACCAAATAAATGAACTTCTACACTGAGGAACCTTTGCTCTGATGTTTTTGTTAGACAGAAGCTCATGTTGAATTGTCTGCAGGTGAGGAGGTCATGGCAGGAAGCCTTTTCCAGACTAATATTAATTCTCCCATTGCGCTAAGCAATAGGGGTAAATTGATAGTCCAGTTATATGAGAGAAATTGTGTTACATTTAATTTTACAAGACCTTCAAGAAGTTTGTTAATTGAATTATGTAGATCAAAATTAAAATACCGATCCCACCTATTGTTTTTATACAAAACTTCCATCCAAATCAGTGAAAGTGAACAACAATGGGACGCAGACATGTTTGTATTGTTCTGTTGTTCCAAGAGGTTAATACAGAAACTGGAGGCGAATGATTTCGTTTCTCAATCTAAAATAAACTCTAACTCTTTAATATACGTGTTCATGCGTCAGAAATTCAAAGTAGAAGCTCTTCCTGTCAGAGATTAAATCGCTTAAAATCTCAAGCGAGTCCTGCATCGCTGCACTTGACCCTGAACAGCAACAGCACATATTCGCACCAGTGACTGTAAGTCTGACAATAAGGATGTTTGATGTAAGACACACACGCACACTAACCTGCATCTGACATCACGACCAGGCTGATTGCAAATAAAATCCACATGTCTCCTTGCTGCAGAAATAATCCGCAGTATGACAGAAGAGAGAGAAACTGAAGCAGAAAGTCCGCTTCAAAAATTAAGCAGCATATACAAAGACCTCATCCACAACGGCAACGCAAAAAATACAAGTGCGTAGATTCAGATCCAGTGTGGACTTTCTCTTTCACTCAGCTGCGATACAATGAGACGAAAATAAGTCATTCGGAGGAAAACACAGCATGATCCCGGACGGTGTGTGATGTCCCGCTGGAAAAGCAAAGGAGCCGGAGTGAGGGAGAAACG